CGAAATCACAGGGACACCCCAAAGTGACACCCCGGAGTGACAGGGACACCCCAAAGTCACAGGAACACCCCGAAATCACAGGGACCTCCCCAGAGTGACAGGGGCACCCCAAAGTCACAGGGACCCCCCCCTGGGGACCCCTTCATGGAAAAGGGGGACACAAGGACACCCCCACAGTGACAGGGACACCCCCACAGTGACAGAGACACCCCAAAATCACAGGGACACCCCAGAGTGACAGAGACACCCCCAGAGTGACACCCCGAAATCACAGGGACACCCCAAAGTGACAGGGACACCCCCAAAGTCACAGGGACTCCCCAAAGTGACAGGGACACCCTAAAGAGACACAGACCCCCCAAAATCACAGGGACCCCCCCGAAAGTGACAGAGACGCCCCCCCAAAGTCACAGGGAGTCCCCCAAAGTGACAGGGACATCCCAAAGTTGCAGAGACCCCCCCAAAGTGACAGAGACCCAATTTGAGGGATTTGGGGTCCGATTTGAGGGGTTTGGGGTCTGATTTCGGGGCTGTGGGGGCTGTGGGGGATCTGGGGGATGATCTGGGGGCTCTGTGGGGTCGGCGGGGCCCCGCAGCGGCCGGTGACGGGGTCGAACTCCTGCCGGGAGTCGGGGCACAGGCACAGGAAGGAGCCCTCGACGTTCTCGCAGCGCTCGGCCCCACAAACCCCGCGGAGCGTCTGGCACTCGTCCACGTCTGCGGGGTGGGATTTGGGGTTTGGGATTTGGGATTTGGGGTTTGGGGGTGGGTTTTTGGAGTTGGGGTTTGGGTTCTTGTGGTGTTCCTGGAGTTGGGATTTGGTGTTTTGGGATCTTCTGAGAAGGTTCTTGTGATGTTCTTGGAGTTGGGATTTGGGGTTTTGGGATTTGGGGTTTGGGGTTTGAAGTTCGGGATTTTGGGGATTTAGGGTTTGAGGAATTTGGGGTTTGGGGTTTGGGATTTTGGGGATTTGGGGTTGGGGTTTGGGGGATTTGGGGTTGGGATTTTGGGAGATTTGGGATTGGGGATTTGGGGGATTTGGGAATGGGGGATTTGGGGTGGGAATGAGGACAAAAGGCCAGGGCCAGGGGCAGTGGCCGTGTCCCCAGGCTGGTGGCCGTACCCACGCAGTGGTGGCCGTGCCGGGCGGTCTCATAGCCGGGGTCGCAGGGATTGGGTTGGGATGGGGACACTGGGATGGGATGGGGACACAAGGATGGACACAGGGGCACAGGGACAGGGTTTTGGGTGTCCCCAGGGGCAGTGGCTGTGTCCCCGGGCCGGTGGCCGTACCCACGCAGTGGTGGCCGTGCCGCGCGGTCTCGTAGCCGGGGTCGCAGGGTTTGGGATGGGGATACAGGGACTGGGATTTGGGGCACAGGGGCAGGGTTTTGGGTGTCCCCAGGGGCAGTGGCCATGTCCCCGGGCCAGTGGCCATGTCCCCGGGCCGGTGGCCGTACCCACGCAGTGGTGGCCGTGCCGCGCGGTCTCGTAGCCGGGGTTGCAGGGTTTGGGATGGGGATACAGGGACTGGGATTTGGGGCACAGGGGCAGGGTTTTGGGTGTCCCCAGGGGCAGTGGCCATGTCCCCGGGCCAGTGGCCATGTCCCCGGGCCGGTGGCCGTACCCACGCAGTGGTGGCCGTGCCGCGCGGTCTCGTAGCCGGGGTTGCAGGGTTTGGGATGGGGATACAGGGACTGGGATTTGGGGCACAGGGGCAGGGTTTTGGGTGTCCCCAGGGGCAGTGGCCATGTCCCCGGGCCAGTGGCCATGTCCCCGGGCCGGTGGCCGTACCCACGCAGTGGTGGCCGTGCCGCGCGGTCTCGTAGCCGGGGTTGCAGGGTTTGGGATGGGGATACAGGGACTGGGATTTGGGGCACAGGGGCAGGGTTTTGGGTGTCCCCAGGGGCAGTGGCCATGTCCCCGGGCCAGTGGCCATGTCCCCGGGCCGGTGGCCGTACCCACGCAGTGGTGGCCGTGCCGCGCGGTCTCGTAGCCGGGGTTGCAGGGTTTGGGATGGGGATACAGGGACTGGGATTTGGGGCACAGGGGCAGGGTTTTGGGTGTCCCCAGGGGCAGTGGCCATGTCCCCGGGCCAGTGGCCATGTCCCCGGGCCGGTGGCCGTACCCACGCAGTGGTGGCCGTGCCGCGCGGTCTCGTAGCCGGGGTTGCAGGGTTTGGGATGGGGATACAGGGACTGGGATTTGGGGCACAGGGGCAGGGTTTTGGGTGTCCCCAGGGGCAGTGGCCATGTCCCCGGGCCAGTGGCCATGTCCCCGGGCCGGTGGCCGTACCCACGCAGTGGTGGCCGTGCCGCGCGGTCTCGTAGCCGGGGTTGCAGGGTTTGGGATGGGGATACAGGGACTGGGATTTGGGGCACAGGGGCAGGGTTTTGGGTGTCCCCAGGGGCAGTGGCCATGTCCCCGGGCCAGTGGCCATGTCCCCGGGCCGGTGGCCGTACCCACGCAGTGGTGGCCGTGCCGCGCGGTCTCGTAGCCGGGGTTGCAGGGTTTGGGATGGGGATACAGGGACTGGGATTTGGGGCACAGGGGCAGGGTTTTGGGTGTCCCCAGGGGCAGTGGCCATGTCCCCGGGCCAGTGGCCATGTCCCCGGGCCGGTGGCCGTACCCACGCAGTGGTGGCCGTGCCGCGCGGTCTCGTAGCCGGGGTTGCAGGGTTTGGGATGGGGATACAGGGACTGGGATTTGGGGCACAGGGGCTTGGGGTTTTGGGATTTGGGGTTTGGGGTTTGAAGTTCGGGATTTTGGGGATTTAGGGTTTGAGGAATTTGGGGTTTGGGGTTTGGGATTTTGGGGATTTGGGGTTGGGGTTTGGGGGATTTGGGGTTGGGATTTTGGGAGATTTGGGATTGGGGATTTGGGGGATTTGGGAATGGGGGATTTGGGGTGGGAATGAGGACAAAAGGCCAGGGCCAGGGGCAGTGGCCGTGTCCCCAGGCTGGTGGCCGTACCCACGCAGTGGTGGCCGTGCCGGGCGGTCTCATAGCCGGGGTCGCAGGGATTGGGTTGGGATGGGGACACTGGGATGGGATGGGGACACAAGGATGGACACAGGGACACAGGGGCAGGGTTTTGGGTGTCCCTGGGCTGGTGGCCGTGTCCCCAGGCTGGTGGCCGTACCCACGCAGTGGTGGCCGTGCCGGGCGGTCTCATAGCCGGGGTCGCAGGGATTGGGTTGGGATGGGGACACTGGGATGGGATGGGGACACAAGGATGGACACAGGGACACAGGGGCAGGGATTTGGGTGTCCCCAGGCTGGTGGCCATGTCCCCAGGGGCAGTGGCCATGTCCCCGGGCCAGTGGCCATGTCCCCGGGCCGGTGGCCGTACCCACGCAGTGGTGGCCGTGCCGCGCGGTCTCGTAGCCGGGGTTGCAGGGTTTGGGATGGGGATACAGGGACTGGGATTTGGGGCACAGGGGCAGGGTTTTGGGTGTCCCCAGGGGCAGTGGCCGTGTCCCCAGGCTGGTGGCCGTGTCCCCAGGCTGGTGGCCGTACCCACGCAGTGGTGGCCGTGCCGCGCGGTCTCGTAGCCGGGGTCGCAGGGATTGGGGCAGGAAGGGGGACACTGGGATGGACACAGGGACACAGGGGCAGGGATTTGGGTGTCCCCAGGGGCAGTGGCCGTGTCCCCGGGCCGGTGGCCGTGTCCCCGGGCTGGTGGCCATGTCCCCAAGCTGGTGGCCGTACCCACGCAGTGGTGGCCGTGCCGCGCGGTCTCGTAGCCGGGGTCGCAGGCGCACTGGAAGGAGCCGGGCAGGTTGTGGCAGGTGGCGTGGGCGCCGCACAGGGTCCCGTTGGAGCACTCGTCCACGTCTGGCACGGGGTGGGACAAGGGGTTGGGGACATCCCGAGGTCCTTGGCCAAACCCGGGGCTGGCCTTTGTCCCCCGGCGTCCCCAGCCCAGTCCCTGCATCCCCGTGTCCATCCCTGTGTCCCCATCCTGATCCCACAGCCCTACGTCCCCATCCCCAAACACAAATCCCAAATCCCAATCCCAAACCCCATATGCCAATCCCAAACCCTCACCGAGGCAGTCCCCGCTTCCTCCGGGCCGGAATCCCGGCTGGCACTCGGGTATGATCCCATATCCCAATCCCAAATCCCAATCCCAAATCCCAATCCCAATCCCTCACCCAGGCAGTCCCCGCCGTCTCCGGGCCGGAATCCCGGCTGGCACTCAGGAGTGATCCCATATCCCAAATCCCAAATCCCAATCCCAGTCCCCTCACCCAGGCAGTCCCCGCCGTCGCCGGGCCGGAATCCCGGCTGGCACTCGGGCATGATCCCATATCTCAATCCCATATCTCAAATCCCAAATCCCCAATCCCTCACCGAGGCAGTCCCTGCTGTCCTCGGGCCGGAATCCTGGCTGGCACTCGGGCACGATCCCATATCTCAATCCCATATCCCAAATCCCAATCCCAGTCCCCTCACCGAGGCAGTCCCCGCCGTCGCCGGGCCGGAATCCCGGCTGGCACTCGGGCACGCAGCGATAGGAGCCCGGGATGTTCTCGCAGCGCTGCGCCCCGCACAGCCCGGCCCCGTACTCCTGGCACTCGTCCACGTCTGGGATCCGGATGGGGACACGGGGACAATCAGGGACATGGCAGGATGGGGACATCAGGATGGGGACATCCAGAACCCCGGGAGCAGCTCCTGGACCACCCCCATCCCTGTGCCCGTCCCAATTCCCGTGTCACCATTCTCAGGCCAGTCCCCATTCCCATCCCGGTCTCCCAATCCCAATCCCAGTCCCCATATCCCCATATCCTCATATCCCCATTCCCATATCCCCATATCCTCATACCCCCATTCCCATATCCCCATATCCCCATATCCCCATATCTCCATATCCCCATATCCCTTTATCTCCATATCCCCATATCCGCATTCCCATGCCAATCCCAATGTCCATATTCCCATCCCAGTCCCCATATCCCACATTCCCAGTATCTCCATCCCAGTCTCCACATTCCCCTCCCAGTCCCCATATACCACACCCCATATCCCCACCCCAATCCCAAATAGCACATTCCCAAATCCCGCTGTCCTGGTCCCTCACCGAGACAGTCCTTACCGTGGCCAGGCTGGAATCCCAGCTGGCACTTGGGAACAATCCCATATCCCAATCCCAAATCCCAATCCCAAATTCGCAATCCCATGTCCCAAATCCTTCACCGAGGCAGTTCCTGCTGTCGCCGGGCCGGAATCCCGGCTGGCACTCAGGATCAATCCCATATCCCAATCCCAAATCCCAAATCCCAAATCCCAATCCCAAATCCCAAATCCCAATCCCAAATCCCAATCCCATATCCCAGTCCCCTCACCCAGGCAGTTCCTGCCATCCCCAGGCCGGAATCCCGGCTGGCACTCGGGAACAATCCCAAATCCCAAACCCAAATCCTAATCCCAATCCCCTCACCGAGGCAGTCCCCGCCGTCTCCGGGCTGGAATCCCGGCTGGCACTCGGGCATGATCCCATATCCCAAATCCCATATCCCAATCCCAATCCCAAATCCCCAATCCCAATCCCCTCACCCAGGCAGTCCCCGCCGTCTCCGGGCCGGAATCCCGGCTGGCACTCGGGCATGATCCCATATCTCAATCCCATATCCCAAATCCCAAATCCCCAATCCCTCCCCGAGGCAGTCCCTGCTGTCCTCTAACCCCAATCTCAAATCCCAAATCCCCAATCCCTCACCCAGGCAGTCCCCGCCGTCCCCGGGCCGGAATCCCGGCTGGCACTCGGGCACGCAGCGATAGGAGCCCGGGATGTTCTCGCAGCGCTGCGCCCCGCACAGCCCGGCCCCGTACTCCTGGCACTCGTCCACGTCTGGGATCCAGATGGGGACACGGGGATGGGGACACGGGAATGGGGACACGGGGATGGGGACATTGGGATGGGGACATTGGGATGGGGACATGGGGATGGGGACATCGGGAATGGGGACATCGGGAAGGGGCATTGGGATGGGGACACGGGAATGGGGACACCGGGATGGGGATGTGGGAATGGGGACACGGGGATCAGGGACATGGGGATGGGGTGGGAACACGGGGATATGGGGAGTCCCGGTGTCCCCACGCCCATCCCATTCCCCAGATTCCCCATCCCGAATCCCGAATCCCGCTCCCTGCCCGCTCACCGCGGCACTCGGCCTTGGCGTCGTCGGTGCGGAACCCGGCCGGGCACTGGCACTGGAAGGAGCCGTCGGTGTTGAGGCAGCGCCCGCCCGCGCACACGGCCCCGCGCTGGCACTCGTCCACGTCTGGAGTCGGGGACATCGGGATTTGGGGTTTGGGGTTTGGGATTTGAGGTGAGGCAATGGGGTGGGTGTGGTGGCTGTTGGCGCACACAGCCCCGCACTGGCACTCATCCACGTCTGGAGTCGGGGACATCAGGATTTGGGGTTTGGGGTTTCGGACATTGGGATTTGGGGTTTGGGACATCGGGATTTGGGGTTTGGGGTTTGGGATTTGGGGTGTGGCAATGGGTGTGGTGGCTGTTGGTGCAGACGGCCCCGCGCTGGCACTCGTCCACGTCTGCGGGGGATTCGGGATTTGGGACATCGGGATTTGGGATTTTGGGTTTGGGACATCGGGATTTGGGATGTGGCAATGGGGTGGGTGTGGCAGCTGCTGGCACAGACGGCCCCGCGCCAGCACTCGTCCACGTCTGCAGGGGGATTTGGGATTTGGGGTTTGGGACATCAGGATTTGGGATTTGGGGTTTGGGGTTTGGGACATCAGGATTTGGGATTTGGGATTTGGGGTTTGGGATTTGGGGTGTGGGGATGGGGGTGACCATGGGGATGCTGGGATGGGCATGGGGACACCCGGACTGGGATGGAAATGGGGACTGGGACTGGCATGGGAACACCGGGACTGGGACAGCCATGGGGACACCAGAATTGGGATGGTGACACTGGGACTGGGATGGTGACACCGGGACTGGGATAACCCTGGGGACACCAGGATTGGCACAGTGACACCAGCACTGGGACAATCATGGTGACACTGGGACTGGGATGGTGACACCGGGACTGGGACAACCCTGGGGACATTGGGACTGGGATGATCATGGTGACACCAGGACTGGAATGGTGACACTGGGACTGGAACAGCCATGGGGACACCAGGACTGGAACAACCCTGGTGACACCAGCACTGGCACGGTGACCCCAGGACTGGCACGGTGACACCAGCACTGGCACGGTGACACCAGCACTGGGACAACCCCAAACAAAGCCACGAGGACCCAAACCCCACAACCCCAACCCCAAACAACGCCCCGCCACCACCACCACCACCCCGGGGTGCCCCCGAGGTGCCACCACGCTGTCCCCGGGTGTCCCCGGCTGTGCCACGCACCGGCGCAGGCGGTGCCGTCGGCGGTGCTGGCGTAGCCGTCGGCGCACAGGCAGCGGAAGGAGCCGGCCGTGTTGACGCACTCGCCGTGCGGGAAGCAGAAGTCACCCTCCAGGCACTCGTTGACGTCTGCGGGGCCACCAGAAGGTCACCCGGGACCACCAGAAGGTCACCCGGGGCCGGTGGCAGCGCCGGGGCGTCCCCACGGGGGTCCCCGCTCACCCTGGCAGGCGGTGGCGCCGGCGGCGGCGCGGTAGCCGCGGTGGCACTCGCAGCGGAAGGAGCCGGCCGTGTTGAGGCAGCGGCCGTGGGGGGCGCAGGGGGAGCCCCCCGAGCACTCGTCCACGTCTGGGGGGACATCGGGGACATCAGGGGGACATTGGGGACACCAGGGGACCTCAGGGGACATCGGGGACATCAGGGGACATGGGGACAGGAGTTATGGGGTCACCAAGTCCCCTAAACCATGGTGACCCCATAACACAGTGACCACAAGTCATGGTCATCCCATGGCGTGGTGACCCTGAGCACGCGACCACCACACTGGTGACACAGGTGACACTGAGGTGACACAGAGGTGACACACAGGTGCCAGCGGTACCTGTGCAGCGGCCCTGGCGCAGCCGGAAGCCCTCGGGGCAGGGCTGTGCCCAGGGGCATGGGGACACTGAGGGGACACTGAGGTGACACTGAGGGGACACTGAGGTGACACAGGTGACACAGGTGACACAGAGGTGACACAGGTGCCAGCGGTACCTGCGCAGCGGCCCTGGCGCAGCCGGAAGCCCTCGGGGCAGGGCTGGCAGCGGAAGGAGCCCGCGGTGTTGACGCACTCCTGGCCCGGACACGCCAGGTGGTTCTCGCACTCGTCGATGTCTGAGGGGACAGCGGGGACAGCGGGGACATCAGGGGACATCGGGGGGGACCCCGAGTCATGGTGACCCCATAGCAGTGACCACAGTGACCCCATGGAGTGACCACAGGTCGTGGTGATCCCATGGAGTGACCACAGGTCATGGTGATCCCATGGAGTGACCACAGGTTGTTGTGACCCCGTAACAGTGACCACAGGTCATGGAGACCCCATGGACCCAGACCCGCGGTAGCCCCCCGGGCACACGCACTCGTAGCCCCCGGGCCGGTTCTCGCAGCGCCCGTGGGCGCAGGGCGGGGGGCTCTGCAAGCACTCGTCGATGTCTGCGGCACGGGGGGCACAGGTGAGGTCACAGGGGGGCACAGGTGTGCCCAGGTGTGTTTTGAGGGGCCCAGGTGTGGTTTGGAGTGCCCCCAGGTGTGCCCAGGTGTGTTTTGGGGGCCCAGGTGTGTTTTGGGGGCCCAGGTGTGTTTTGGGGGCCCAGGTGTGGTTTGGGTGCCCCCAGGTGTGTTTGGGGTGCCCCTGGGTGTGCCCAGGTGTGTTTTGGGGTGCCCCCGGGTGTGCCCAGCTGTGGTTTGGGGTGCCCTCAGGTGTGCCCAGCTGTGTTTTTGGGGCTCAGGTGTGGTTTGGGGTGCCCCCAGGTGTGCCCAGGTGTGTTTTGGGGTGCCCCCAGGTGTGTTTTGGGGGCCCAGGTGTGGTTTGGGGTTCCCCCAGGTGTGCCCAGGTGTGTTTTGGGGGGTCCAGGCGGGGTTTGGGGTGCCCTCAGGTGTGCCCAGGTGTGGTTTGGGGTGCTCCCAGGTGGGCACAGGTGAGCACAGGTGTGGTTTGGGGGCCCAGGCGGGATTTGGGGTGTGCCCAGGTGTGCCCAAGTGTGCCCAGGTGTGTTTTGGGGTGCCCCCAGGTGTGCCCAGGTGTGGTTTTGGGGCCCAGGTGCACCCAGGTGTGGTTTGGGGTGTGCCCAGGTGTGCGCAGGTGTGGTTTGGGGGCCCAGGTGTGTTTTGGGGTGCCCCCAGGTGTGTTTTGGGGTGTGGCAGGTGCGCTGCTGACCTCGGCACTCGGTGCCCGCGGGCTCGGAGGTGAAGCCGGCGCCGCAGAGGCACCGGAAGCTGCCCACGGAATTCTCGCAGCGCCCCGGGGAGCAGGGCGGGGGCACCTGGCGGCACTCGTCGATGTCTGCGGGCACAGGTGAGGGGCACGGGGGGGCACAGGTGAGGTCAGGGGGGCACAGGTGGGCACAGGTGGGCACAGATGAGCACAGGTAATGGGCACAGGGGGCACAGGTGAGCTCAGGTGGGCACAGGGGGCACAGGTGAGCACAGGTAATGGGGACAGGTGGGCACAAGGGGGCTCAGGTGGGCACAGGTGAGAGGCAGGATCCCCTCCAAGCCTCCTCCCCACTCACCCACACAATGGGTGCCCGGGGATTTTTTGGGGGGTGCTCACAGGGGCTGGGGGCGCTCCGGGGGGAGGGGGTTAGGAGGGGTTTTTGGATGGATTTTGGTGCTTTTTGGGGTTTTTTTTTGGTGGTTTTGGGATTTTTTCCAGGTTTTTTGGGGGTGCTCAGGGATTTTTTGGTTGGTTTTTTTTTCTAATTTTTTGGTGTTTTTTGGTGGTTTTTTGGGATTTTTCCGGTTTTTTTGGGGGGATTTTTTCCGGGTTTTTTTTTGGGGTGCTGAGGGATTTTCGGGGGGTGCTCACAGGGGCTGGGGGCGCTGCGGGGGGCTCCCAGCGGGACCCCCGCCCCGTCGTGGCCCAGGAACTGGGTGTTGATGCGCAGGTCCGAGGCCGAGTAGTGGTAGCCGGGCCCGGCCGGGCAGATCTCGCGGAACCCCTCTGGTGGGGAGGGGTCCCGGGGCACAATTGGGTCTGGGGGCTCCGCCCGGGGCCGGGGGGACCCCCCAAAGCTCGGGGGGACCCCCCCAGCCTCAGCCCGGCTTGGGTTTGTTCGTCCCCCCACCCAAAAAATTCAGTTTTTGCCTTAAAAATTCGTGTCTGAGATTTTGGACCCCTCCCCAAATTCCGGGGTCCCCCCTGACCATCTCAGACCCCTCCCCCAAATTCCAGACCTGTCCCCAAATTCCTGAGTCCCTCCTGAAGGCCGCAGACCCCTCCCCAAATTCTCAGCCCCCTCCCCAATTTCCAGACCCCTCTCCAATTTTTTGGGACCCCTCCCCAAATTCCTGGGTCCCCCCTGAATATCTTAGACCCCTCCCCAGATTTCCAGACCCCTCCCCAAATTCTGGAACCCCTCTCCAATTTCCTGAGTCCCTCCCAAAATTCCAAGACCCTTCCCCAATTTCCAGACCCCTCCCCAAATTCTCAGACCCCTCCCCAAATTCTCAGACCCCTCCCCAAATTCCAGGACCCCTCCCCAATTTTTTGGGACCTCTCCCCAAATTCCAGACCCCTCCCCAGATTTCCAGGTCCCTCCCTGACCATCTCAGACCCCTCCCCAATTTCCAGACCCCCCCCCCAAATTCGTTTTCCCAGTATCCCCCATACCCCCAATTTTTTTTTTTTTTGCATTTTTGGGGGGAATTTCGGAGTTTTTGGGGCTCCCCAGACACCGAATTTTCCTCCCACCGTTTGGGGGTGGTCCCAGAAATTTTGGGAACCCCTAAAAAATTTTGGGGCGGGGGTCTCAGGAACTTCAGGACCTCCCAAAAACTTTCGGGCTGCCCGAGAGCATCCCCAGTCCCCCCAATTTTGGGGTTTTTTTGCATTTTGGGGGAATTTCGGAGTTTTTGGGGCTCCCCAGACACCGAATTTTCCCCCCACGAATTGAGGGTAGTCCCAGAAATTTGGTTTGGGGGTGGTCCCAGAAATTTTGGGAACCCCTAAAAAATTTTGGGGCGGGGGTCTCAGGAACTTCAGGACCTCCCAAAAACTTTCGGGCTGCCCGAGAGCATCCCCAGTCCCCCCAATTTTGGGGTTTTTTTGCATTTTGGGGGAATTTCGGAGTTTTTGGGGCTCCCCAGACACCGAATTTTCCCCCCACGAATTGAGGGTAGTCCCAGAAATTTGGGAACCCCTAAAAAATTTTGGGGCGGGGGTCTCAAGAGCTTCAAGACCACCCAAAAACTTTTGGGCTGCCCGAGAGCAGCCCCAGTCCCCCCAATTTTGGGTTTTTTTGGCATTTTGGGGGAATTTCGGAGTTTTTGGGGCTCCCCAGACACTGAATTTTCTCCCCGCGAATTGGGGGAGGTCCCAGAAATTTGGGAACCCCTAAAAAATTTTGGGGCTGGGGTCTCCGAAACTTCACGACCTCCCAAAACCTTTTAAGCTGCGCGAGAACCGGGGGAAAAAAAACTCAAAATCCGCCTCATTTTGGGGGAGGGTGGTCCCAGAAATTTGGGAACCCCTAAAAAATTTTGGGGCGGGGGTCTCAAGAGCTTCAAGACCACCCAAAAACTTTTGGGCTGCCCGAGAGCAGCCCCAGTCCCCCCAATTTTGGGTTTTTTTGGCATTTTGGGGGAATTTCGGAGTTTTTGGGGCTCCCCAGACACTGAATTTTCTCCCCGCGAATTGGGGGAGGTCCCAGAAATTTGGGAACCCCTAAAAAATTTTGGGGCTGGGGTCTCCGAAACTTCACGACCTCCCAAAACCTTTTAAGCTGCGCGAGAACCGGGGGAGAAAACCCAAAATCCGCCTCATTTTGGGGCGGGATTTTAGGGGTTTTTTTCCCACCCCAAGAGCCGGGATTGCTTCCCCCGTTGGGAACCCCTAAAAAATTTTGGGGCGGGGGTCTCAGGAACTTCAGGACCTCCCAAAAACTTTTGGGCTGCCCGAGAGCAGCCCCAGTCCCCCCAATTTTGGGTTTTTTTGGCATTTTGGGGGAATTTCGGAGATTTTGGAGCTCCCCAGACACCGACTTTTCCCCCCACGAATTGAGGGTGGTCCCAGAAATTTTGGGAACCCCTAAAAAATTTTGGGGCTGGGGTCTCCGAAACTTCACGACCTCCCAAAACCTTTTAAGCTGCGCGAGAACCGGGGGAAAAAAAACTCAAAATCCGCCTCATTTTGGGGCGGAATTTTGTCGTTTTTTCCCACCGCAAGAGCCGGGATTGCTTCCCCCGGATTTGAGGGGGGTCTCGGGGATGTGGGGAGGGGTCTCACCGGATCCGAAGGGGGGGCAGAGCAGGCAGGAGCCCCCCCAGGCTTTGCCCACGCGGCTGCAGCAGCAAACCTGGCGGGTGATGTTGCGCAGGGTGGGCAGCGCGCAGCCCCCGCCCTCCCGCAGCAGGCGGAAACACGGACCGCGGGCCTCCGACAGCACCTGCTGGGCTGGGGGACAACTGGTGAGCACCTGGGGCCATCCCAGTCCATCCCAGTCTATCCCAGTTTGTCCCAGTCCATCCCAGTTTGGCCCGGTCCCAGCCCAGTCCCAGCCCAGCGCAGCCCCCGCCCTCCCGCAGCAGGCGGAAACACGGACCGCGGGCCTCCGACAGCACCTGCTGGGCTGGGGGAGCGCCTGGTGAGCACCTGGGGCCATCCCAGTTCATCCCAGTCTATCCCAGTTTGTCCCAGTTTGTCCCAGTCCATCCCAGTCCATCCTGTCCCAGCCCATCCCGTTCTATCCCAGCTCATCCCATCCCAGACCAGGCGGGTTTGGGGTCCCCCCGTGCCTTGGGCAGCACCTGCTGGGCTGGGGGAGCGCCCGGTGAGCACCTGGGGCCCTCCCAGTCCATCCCAGTCTATCCCAGTCCGTCCCAGTTCAGCCCAGTCCATCCCAGTCCATCCCATCCCAGCCCATCCCGTTCTATCCCAGTTTGTTCCCTCCCAGACCAGGCGGGTTTGGGGTCCCCCCGGAGCCTCTGAGAGAGGTTTTGGGGCTGGGGGAGCACCTGGAGAGCACCTGGAGCTCTCCCAGTTCATCCCAGTTTGGCCCAGTCCATCCCAGTTTGTCCCAGTCCATCCCAGTCCATCCTCTCCCAGTCCATCCCGTTCTATCCCATTTCTTCCCCACCCAGCCCAGGTGGGTTTGGGGTCCCCCCGAGCCCGTTCTATCCCAGCTCATCCCATCCCAGACCAGGCGGGTTTGGGGTCCCCCCGTGCCTTGGGCAGCACCTGCTGGGCTGGGGGAGCGCCTGGTGAGCACCTGAGGCCATCCCAGTTCATCCCAGTTCATCCCAGCTTGGCCCAGTCCATCCCAGTCCATCCTAGTCCATCCTGTCCCAGCCCATCCCGTTTTATCCCAGTTCATTCCATCCCAGCCCAGATGGGTTTGGGGTCCCCCCGAGGCTTTGAGAAACGTTTTGGGGCTGGGGGAGCACCTGGAGAGCACCTGGAGCCCTCCCAGTTTGGCCCGGTCCATCCCAGTTTGTCCCAGTCCATCCCAGTCCATCCTGTCCCAGCCCATCCCGTTTTATCCCAGTTCATTCCATCCCAGCCCAGATGGGTTTGGGGTCCCCCCGGAGCCTCTGAGAGAGGTTTTGGGGCTGGGGGCGCACCTGGAGAGCACCTGGAGCCCTTCCAGTCCATCCCAAATAACATCATTAATGACCCCAAACCCCAAAGATGACCCCACAAATGACCCCAAACCCTACAGATGCATCGGGAACGGGACGAGTCCAGCAGCAATCCATCCCAAACCCCACAGATAACACCACGACCCATCCCAGCCCAGGTGGGTTTGGGGTCCCCCCCGAGGCTTTGAGAGAGGTTTTGGGGCTGTGGGCGCACCTGGAGAGCAACTGGGGCCCTCCCAGTTCAGCCCAGTTCATCCCAGTTTGGCCCGGTCCATCCCAGTCCATCCCAGTCCATCCCAGTCCATCCCAGTCCATCCCAGTCCATCCTGACCCATCCTGTTCCATCCTGGCCCCTCCCAGACCAGGTGGGTTTGGGGTCCCCCCGAGGCTTTGAGAAACGTTTTGGGGCTGGGGGAGCACCTGGAGAGCACCTGGAGCCCTCCCAGTTTGGCATAAATGACCCCAAACCCGACAAATGACCCCACAAACGATCCCATAAATGACCCCAGACCCTACAGATGCATCGGGAGCGGGACGAGTCCAGCAGGAAGCCCATCCCAAACCGCACAGATAACCCCCTAAATGACCCCAAATAACATCATTAATGACCCCAAACCCCACAAGTGACCCCATAAATGACCCCAAACCCCACAGATAACACCATAAATGACCCCAAATAACACCATTAATGACCCCAAACCCCACAAGTGACCCCATAAATGACCCCAAACCCCACAGATAACACCATAAATGACCCCAAATAACACCATTAATGACCCCAAACCCCACAAACGACCCCATAAACGACCCCAGACCCTACAGATGCATCGGGAGCGGGACGAGTCCAGCAGCAATCCCGGCGGGCAGAGGCACGCGAAGCTGCCGCGGGTGTTGGTGCAGAGCCCGAGCTGGCACAGCGCCCCCTCCTGGCACTCGTCCACGTCTGGGGGGCACGGGGGGGGTCAGGGGCACCCCCCGACCCCAAAAAGCCGGACCCGAAATTCCCCCGGCCCAAAATTCCCAACCACGAAATTCCCCCGTCCCAAAATTCCTGACCCAAAAAAATCCCCCGTCCCAAAGTTCCCGATCCCAAAAAATTCCCCCGTCCCAAAATTCCCAAGCCTGAAATTCCCCCATCACAAAATTCCCGACATCAAAGAAATCCCCATCCCAAAAAATCCCCATCCCAAAAAATTCCCCACCCCAAAAATTCCCCGTCCCAGAAAATCCCCATCCCCGAATTCCCCAACCCAAAATTCTCGATCCCAAAAAAATCCCAAAATCCCAAATTTCCCAACCCCAAATCCCAAAATCCCGAAATTCCAAAATCCCAAACCCCAAACCCCAAATCCC